AAGAGAGCCCACTTTGACTGACAAATTATACATACAACTAGCTCAAGGAATATAATATATGTCTAGGCAAAGTTTATCTGAGAACGTTTGGTCTTTGCCCAAGATTTATCTACATGACACACAGTGATTAAAAGTACCAGACTGGTGCAACTAACCTTCTTGGATGTTTAACAGACATACTTTGAGGCCTATACTAATTTGGTCAGAGGGACACAAAGGACAGTTTTTGCTCCTTGCCCTCCTAGGTCGACTAGTTCCAGGGAACTATGAGCATCTCCAAAAATGTCCTGTAATTGTGGTGGGTCACCTGTACTCTTAATCAAGGAGGCTGAGGAGACCCCAAGAGATGGACATGAACCAGTGCCCAGTCTATAAAGAGGAGGGTCAACCCAGAGGAATAATTTCCTCTGTGCTTCTAAGCAAACCCAGCCATGGTCAAGCAGGACCTTTGACTTATCTTCACATAGATGGAATTGGTAAAAGAAAGGAGCCAGGGGCTCTTCCCAAGCCCGTTTGACCCCTGAGGTACAGATCATCAAACAACCTTAAGAGTAAAAATAAATTGGTTTATCTGGACCAACTGTATGGCCTTAAACACCCAAAAGGAAAGTATAACCAAAGATTAAAGGGGCCAATATAATTTCTTAAGAGTCCATATGTATAGCTAAAGGCTACATAACAAGCAACAATGCCAGATAGGAGATACCTTCTTTTGAGTTGTTGGCCAGGGTGGTCCAAGGGACTCCCAGATAGTAACCCAGCATAGAACTGGGAAAATGAACAGCAGACCCCAATCTTGTCTAAAGGAATACTGACAACTGATTGCTGCTAGGTGAGGAACAGCTGACCCTCCTAAAACAAAGGCCTCTAGATAGGCTTACTTGATTCACCAGATGGACAATAGTGGGGAATGGCTGGGGGTGCCGACCACACAGTGGACAGTAGCAGGGATAACAGAGTGTAAGGGCTCTAGTGAGGGGAGAGAGGCTATGGGAGGGTGCCATCTGGGAAGTGAGTGTGTAGATGAATAAGATGGTTTGGGATTTTCTGTGTGATATACACACAGAAAAAAAAATCAACAAATTTTTTAAATGTATTG